GAGATTTCAATTACGATATCAATTAATGCTCTTTTTTCTCTCTCTCTCTCTCTCTAACACTATTGAATAGCCACTGGAAACGACTGAATGCATCCTCTTTTGTCAGCGGTTTGTATTTTCCTAACAGATATATAATATAAAACACATTACATAATAATATAGTACTGGTATTATATAAGCAGAGAAATGTTTTATTATGAAAAATGAGACCAAAAATGCAGAGAATAATAAAGAAATCGCAATGAATTCTGTATTGAATTCAATGAGAGGAATATTTTGCAAAATGTGCGATAATTCACATATAATTAATCCATTCATACGGCATCAATACATATGCTAATATATTTTTACTGTATAAATTATAAGTTATCCAATTAATTTATATACCAACTACTGTGATAAACAATATTTATAGATTAATTAATTTAATTAAAATTTAAATGTCATTTGGTTTTTCCAGTCATATATTGTTTATCTGCCGGAGAAAAGCAATTAGTGAGGGATTAGTAGAAAAATACTGAGCGATGAATACAAATACAATCACAAAAATACTTCAAAAATAAAGGCAAAGATTTTTTTGGTTGTCGACAAGATTTAGCATAATATGCTATATTATATATTATATTCAATACAACTGAACACTTCATACGAACTGTCAGTACTTGTTATTGATTGGCAAAATAGTGAGACATTCCGTGAAAATACTTATGCATTGCTGTTGTTGTCGATGAAGAGTGAAAGAGACAATTAAATTAAGATAAAGTAAGTGCTAATCATTTGACTAATTATGACATAACATCCCTCTGGATTAGCTACATAATCTAAGAGTTACCTAAGCACTTAAACACTCCTGGCCCGCAAAACAACGACGGCATCACGAGTACTAATCGTGCTGTATTGACACGTGAAAACGTGTCGATAAGTGTGTATGTATTGCTCGTTAAGACTATAACAGATATGCAAACGGATTGTAAACCCGGGAGACCGAAAGGAACTGACGTTTATTTCATAACATCTATTAAAACACTGATAAATGAGATTTTAATTATTTTTTGTTGAAAGCGAAATATAATGTTTGGTTTGGAAAACGTCTAGCATTTCATTTAGAGAGAGAGAGAGAGAGAGAGAGAGAGAGAGAGAGAATTAGTATATTTAATAAGGTTTGGGATATAAATGTCAGTCACGAGAAAAGGTTTATGAAAATATTTTTGAAATTTTAATAAAGTTTTGTTTTATATTAAAAAATATTTTCCATATATTGTGTTCAATCAAATGGCGAGACATTTTTCAAAAGTCATTTATAGTCACTTTGAGTTTGGGTGTTAAGCAAAGGGCTCCGTAACTAATCTCATGGATTTAATCGGGAATATTCTGCGCAAAAATAATAATAAATTGATTGAAATTTTTTGATTGAAATTAAATGTTGAGATCAATTGGTCGATAATGTCTTTCTCGCGGATCAATTAATCTGCGGACACAAAACTGATGGCACAGTTTAATAACACTTTATTTGTCTCCGTCTCTGCCGGCGCTGTCACGGAATATATTACAGAATATTCTGTGTATTCTGTGTTTTAAAAAAATACATTACTATTGCCCACAAAAAACACTATCAATCAATTTAACTATTTATTCAGACAAATGTTGGCGTTATTTCCATTGATGTTATATATGTTTATAAATAAATAATACGACTAAATATAAAATCTATGTTTGAGTTTTGTTTTTAATGTATATTAAAAAGGAGATCTCATTATAATATACTGAATGTATGATAATATTTGATAAATATATATGCAATATAATTAATAATGTATAAAAAGCCCGTAACTATAGGATCAGAAATATTCTCATTTTTGGGATAATGAATATATTGACTAAACACTTGAGACATACTGTATATAAATGTAATTTATCTTAAGTTGCTTTCCCATACATTTCAATGCATTTATGAATTCATAACAACAATGTCATTTTTAAACATTAAGGAAATTTATTTAAATAAAAACTAAAAACTAAGTGAACATCACTTATGTATATTACACAATATACAGAATATATGCCACAGAATATTATTTAAAAAGTCATTTATAACGCACGAGATATACACAAAAAAGAGTTAAACTACATATAAATTCAAATAAAATTGTGCTCATTGTATGTGAAAAGCGTATACAATAGGCCGTCACATATAACCGCAACCATTAATACCCGTAATGAGATAACAGTCATTTTTAAATAATTAGTTTTGGGCCAAAACAACTCGCCTTATTCATCGGTATATAATACCAATCATAAATATTAATTGAGTTATAAATTATGGGTCACTATCTGTTTTCCGTCTTACGGTTTACAGGGAGTTATACGGTATACTGTGTGTGTTTAGCACTTTTCCAACTAGATGAATAAATACTGCCTTACAGAATATCACTGTTCGCACACTTTTGGAAACAACTTTGTCGAGTGGTAAATATAATTTGATGAAAAGTAATTAGTGGCACTAAAACTTAATTACCTTCACTATAAGTCTCAATAATATCTATATGCATTTACTTTTGAAATAAATGGATTAAAAATACAATTTTGGTCAAAACGCGAAAGTTATTCTCCAACAATAACAGCAATATATTCTCAATTAAATATCTGCTATAATATTGCACCAAATACTGAGTAACACATACACAGCCCTTGTATTGATAAGCCTGTATGCACTTTATTAATACAATCAATAAGAATAATGTCATACGATACCTACTTACCCTTACGGTATCACTTATGTATGCACTAAAGTAAAACTGTAGCTACCTGACACGCAAAGCCTTTAATTAAACGCCTAAGACAGCGTCGGTAACTTTCGGGGAAAGTTAGTGAATATCAAACGTCTCAAACCTCGGCCTCTTGAAGAATGTTCCCCGAGATATCATTTGTGGCAAAAAATCTTGGATTCCTATCATAAATGAGATACAAATACAATACAATTAAAGCCCCTTTCAATCACTTTATCAAACGTCTCAAACCTCGGCCTCTTGAAGAATGTTCCCCGAGATATCATTTGTGGCAAAAAATCTTGGATTCCTATCATAAATGAGATACAAATACAATACAATTCAATTCAATACATCAATTCAAGTGAAATCACTATTTGAATACCAACTCATTTCACTATTTATTAGTTTTTTTATTCATATTCTTTGCATAATATGTCCATTATTTCTGTGTATTTCAATATAGATATCATATTTTGCAATATAATTATCGTGTTATGAGATTTATTGTGCCCATTGTTAATATATCAGTGAATGGATAGTCTATTTCTGTCATTGATTTGTAATAGTCTTTTTCGTGGGAATCTGTGACTCAATTGCTTATTATATTTCCATAATTATATATTTGATTATTTAGCTCATTTTATTTCTTATTTAATAATGTCTTTAGAAATTATGCTAATTAATAGTATGTTTATGCAGTAATATTATTGTGCTAATCATGCTCATTTATGTGAATTTATATTATTTAACATCAATTCAAAATAATATGTTATAATTTATGACCATCTATTTATTTATCATTAGTAAGTTATGATTTATGTTGATTATTACGGATAGAATTTACTATAGAAAATGTTTATAACAATATTTCTAGAAAAATACATTAAATCAATTCAAAATTTTACACTGTAAAATTTACAGCATGTTGTGTTAAACAACAGCAAATATATTGATTTTGTGTTGAACATGTGATAAATTGGGTGACATTTAACATGGTATAAGAATAATACAAAATGAAAAGTTAGTGTAAAATCTGACCGATTTCTTGAGTGGAAGGCAAACCAATTTCATAGAATATTCTTAATATAAACATATTCTTTGAGGACATGGATGAGAGGGAGACCTCGGGATCTATTTTCCAATCGTTGGTCGCGTCGTAAGACAGGCTCTCAATGGTTATGATTTTGCCCTCCAGTCCTCCCGACCTAATCGTGGCGTTCATCCGAGCNAAATATGTTAAATAATTTTATAAAACTTTAGGCTTTTGTTTATATATATATTAATATTGTTTAATTGTATTATACACAACAATTTACCGTACGACAATTTACATTTTGGGTATAGTTAAAACCGTGAGTGGCGTGAGTGTATGTGAAAAATCGTGATCGTGAGTGAACGTGAAAAGTTTTACAGACACCGTGAGTGAGTGTGATTCACGATTGAATTTTTCCCCGTGAGTGTGAGTGAGCGTGAAAATTTTTGTCGTGAACGTGAGTGAGCGTGAATGAAAATTGTCCAATTTACCGACACTAGTGTGGTGTATATGTGTTGGGATACATGACAATTAACCCAATGATGAACCTATATTACTATACAGAATCTATATGTATCTGTAGTATTCTGTACTGTTTAGTTTGTGTCAATTCACATCACATCCCAATTCTTGTCTATACTTTTATATGTAATACACTATTGTGTTTAGGAATTGATGTCAGTTATAGTGTCACACTTTTTGTAAGGCAAGAAGATTTTTGTTGTGAACGTGAGTGAGCGTGAATGAAAATTGTCCAATTTACCGACACTAGTGTGGTGTATATGTGTTGGGATACATGACAATTAACCCAATGATGAACCTATATTACTATACAGAATCTATATGTATCTGTAGTATTCTGTACTGTTTAGTTTGTGTCAATTCACATCACATCCCAATTCTTGTCTATACTTTTATATGTAATACACTATTGTGTTTAGGAATTGATTTAAATATTTTATATACAATTATATTGCAAATGTATGACAAATTTATTTGACATAATCATTGATAACAAACAACGAAAAATGTTTTCTTTTGTTAAAATTCTGTAGAAAATGTATTTTTATTTGAAATATTTATAGTGTTTTATGTGTTTATATGAAATTTAAGATATATTTTATATAAACCATAATCTATTGCTCTTTGGAAAAACTTTTCCAACAGATATAACGATGAAAAATAAAAGTTTAGTATAAAATTGAAACATAATTTCAATGTATATTAATACACAGATTGAATGCATTTTTGATACAAAACGATGAAATAGTATTTTCTAATTTAAATTCTGTTTCGTTGAAAAATTCATGAGTCTATGAATTCCATCACTATTTACACGAATGAACCGATTCTGTAATCAATTCTCATTGAAATCTATGAATAATTTACAAATAGATAGACATTGAAAGAAAGATTTGTATGAATTAACTGTAAATCTACAATATAAATGCTTGACATTACATTTGAATATGTAATAAATGTCACAGATAACTTTAAGGACAATATTGTTTACTGCATATAAATTGTACAAATATGTACATGGTGAGAACTATATTAATCTCATAAATGTGATAGTTTTTCTAAACATGAGTCTAAAAAATGATTGATTGATTAGATTGTGAGTCGACATTCAATTTATATCAAACATTAAAAAAGTTGTCCCAAAGTATTGTATTGTAAAATATCAGACAATTTCTTATAATACAAGTTTTGCACCAATGGTTTCAATCATAAGTGTATCCGTTTTGCGCACGAATTGTATCGAAATATTTTGCCCTTTTATTTAAATATGTATAACATTTAGCGTATATTTTAAACATCTATTTTACTGACATGTCTTACATAAGGAAATATATTTTTTATAGTAAAATTTTTTTCACTTAATTTGATTGAATGTGTGATCATATGAGATATAGTTTTTGTAAAATTAATTGTATATTGTTTGTTAAAAATACTTTTAAATCAATTTAATATTCAGATTTATAATTTAATTATTAAATTTCATTTAATTTTTAAATAGTCAGCAAATAATGAATACTGGTAAATTACAAACATTCCGCCGCATATATAATAAATTTATCAGATTCTGAATATTAACCAAAATATAAACCTTTTGTAACAATAATAATACGGAAGGAATTGAATCTAAAATTTAGATTTAAATATTTATATCTTATGATATTTTTATTTTAGCATCATGTTTATAAAATTAATAATCAGGACTCAAATTAATTTAAACTAGATTAATAATTTTTATGTATCCGTGTTTTAAAGTATTATATTTTTATATTGTACTCTATTATAAAATTTTCGATATATTTAAATTATGGTATTAATCTGTTATTTAAATGAATAAACCACTTATTTATGCCATTCATTAACAGTAATATTATGATAAATATTCTAACATTTATTACAAAAATAAACATTTATAATAAGTGGTAAATACTTGAGTTAATATCAATATTTATTTATACATTACCCTAATTTATATAATTCATTAAATTTTAATAAACTAAACATTATTTGAATATTAATTTTATAAATGCAAACAGACATTTCATTTAAATGTAAATTGAAAATATCGTATGCAATTAATTAATGGTTGTTTATAAATATTTTAAGCTATGACGATTTTATTAAAGAATTACAGTAAATTAAAAATTTATATAAAATCCATAAAAATAATTCAATTTATTGCTATTATTTGCCAACAAATAGAAATACCTGAAATATTTTTAATATAATAAACTTCAATATGAAAAATAGTAAAATTACATTAAATTTTTATTAAAGTGTTACTATATTTAGAAAAATATTTGACAGATATTTATTTCATTTGATACAATTCGTGAATATTTTGTTATATAAAATTTTGTTACTTTACATGACATTTATCGTTCAAACCATATATTTACTAACAATGAGTGAATAAAAATGTACAAAAAATAAAATAAAATCAAGATTTATCAATGAAAAAGACGATTACATAATGTATGAAATATTTATTTTCAAATCATATAAAATTCTCTAAATATTTGTCAAAAATTCAAAATAAATTGCATACCGTTGAGAAACAAAACACATTTTCATACATTTACTAAACAAAAACTAAAATTTTATTTTCAAAACCAATTCAACAAAACTCATATCAAAATACAAATGAATAATAAATTATTTTAAAAAACACAAATTTCATTTGCAGACAAAACCCAAACCCAAAACAATGGCAGCGGAACTGATAGCCCGGGTGTGTCTCACCGATCGGACGGCGCGAACGGCGGTACCAGTCGTTGGCCGCGAGTGTTGAGCGCCGAGACGGTGGAGGTGTTCGCGAAGGACTTCCGGGACGACAATATCGTAGAGCTGGAGAAGGCGGCCAATGACGACACGTTTCTCGCCAATAGGTTTGGCAACAAAAACGCTTATATGTTCTTCTCGTTGCGCGTCTTTTACGACTCCGGAGGTCCCGGTGTCGGACCCGACAGCCCCGCCAACGACGACAACAGTATCAGTGCCATTGACAGCCCCGCCGATGACCACAATTAGCTATTCACTCATCTCAAGCACCGGTTTTAGTGATTACTGTTAATTATATGATTTCATAGACCAGTAAAAGAAATTTTGATGAAAATAATGACAAAATCAAATGCAATTAAAAAGTTATGAAAAATGTTTTCAGATATTTAGCACATATTTAACTATTTGAGTGTATTTTATGAATTTACACCACTTTTCGTATGCATTCTTAGCGTTTATTCAAAACACAATTTATCGTATATTTGACTATATATTTGTCCACATTTTGCTTATCTCCATAGTATTCAGCAAAAATTATTTTCTGATTTGATTTGCTTTTAGTATGCGTTGAGATAATGGGTTTATATGTATATTATATGATATGGTAATACTTGACAATATATTTCTTATGAATAATTTCTTTATAAATCTCAATGAATTTTCCAAATCTTGAATAATAATAATAATAATCGCCGACAAAAATACAAACCAATGGTTTTTTATTATGGATTTCAGTATTAAAACCTAATGTTAAAATACATTCCATGAATGTTATCTAACTTTATAAAAACATTATTTAAAATACAAAACCAATGTTTACATGTAATATACGGACAAAATATTAGTTATAAATATTATAAGGTTAATCAAATTTATAAATATAAATTTTAAACAACTCCTAATAAATACCGCGAGTCTATGCACAAGAATAATACTGTATCCAAAAAACATTTAAATATTAAAATTATTAATAATAAAGTATAGAGAATTTAAAGTAAATTTTTGAAAGCCATTACTATTACATTGTATAAGATTTATCAGTAAACATGTTAAGTGAATGAAAAATTTTGTATTATATAATATAATTTTAGAAAACAAAATTTCCAAACTAAATACTGGTATTTATATTGACAATAACATGAATTTAGTAAACAATTTAATAATTAAAATAATATTTATGATATGCACATCTAATAACGGCAATTAAGTGTCAGTTTTAAACAAATTTAATTATTTATTTCGGGGCACAAACAATGTATTAATATTAATATACAGTACTAACCTTTGGATACATAAATAAATAGTAAATGGAAATTAAAATTAAAATTGATTTAGTAATCAACCATGTACAATTCAAGTTATTATTTAAAACTTCATTTAGTAATCTATAAAATGGTAAAATTATTTTGTCTGTAGCTTTTGTGGTTTCGAAGTAAACCTCACCCTTCGGAAACCTTTTGGCACTTTTACCCGACGGGAAATTGAAAATATAATAATTTGGTCATAAATTGTACGAAATTATTAAGATCTTATACAGATAATAACTACCACACAAAAATAGTTTAAATAGATTAAAATTATATTGAAATAAAAAATATTTTACAATTTTTTATTTATCACATTTTTGTGACTTCCATTGAATAACATTAAACTCCAAGTGCCAAAAAGTTTCCGGAGGTTGACCTCTTCGGATGAAGATTACTTCGGAACAATAAAAGTTTCAAACAAAATAATTTTACTATTTTATAGATTATTAAATACAGTTTAAAATTATAACTTGAATTGTTCATCGTTGATAACTAAATCAATTTTAATTTTAATTTCAATTTACTATTTATTTATGTATCCAAAGGTTAATGTATTAATGTACAGAATAATCATTGATTTATAGATAATT